TATAGGGTGGTTGTGTTCACACACTGCCAACACACATTTCAGTTCAAACAACTTGTAAAAGTGCATATAGCATCATATTACCCCTTTAAAAAAGAAAAACCTTTGCTTTCTCTTTCCTTCATCCCTCCCTGTCTAGCTTGTAATCTGAACAATATCTGAAACTTTGTATTACGAGCACTTCCTGTGTTTATTTGCCTCTTTATGATGAATCGCTTGTATTCCTCAATTGTAAGTTGCTTTGGATAAAAGCATCTGCTAAATGAATAAATGTAAATGTAAATGTCCTTGGTTATCGCTGTAAACAAAGCAGCACTGCACTTATAAACACTACTTTAGTAGGCCTATGCATTATACAGAGACAAGATGAAAAGAAAATACCATCTAAACTAAACTAAACATCAGTTCCCCTCAGAGGTATGTATACATATGGTAACACTTTACAATAAGGTTCCATTAGTTAATGTTAATGTATCAACTGACCTGAATGAACCATGAACAATACATTTATTACAGTTTTTGTTTTGTTAATGTTAACGAAAATACAGTCGTTCATTGTTAGTTCATGTTAATTCACAGTTCATTAACTAATGTTAACAAGCACAACTTTTGATTTCAATAATGCATTAGTAAATGTTGAAATTAACATTAAGATTAATAATGCTGTAGAAGTATTGTTCATTCTTTGTTCAAGCACAACTTTTGATTTCAATAATGCATTAGTAAATGTTGAAATTAACATTAAGATAATAAATGCTGTAGAAGTATTGTTCATTCTTAGTTCATGTTAACTAAAGTAGTTAACTAATGTTAACTAATGAACCTTATTGTAAAGTGTTACCATATATATAAACATATAAAGTAATAAAGTTATTCATGTTTTTAGACTATAGTCAATAATTGAACAATTATTATCATTTAATATACATGCATACACACTCACATTTTATTTCAAATATTGTTATTCATGTTTTCAGGATTGTAAATCACACACACACACACACACACACACACTTTTTGTAAATATATATAATTTATTTATATTAAATATACATACATGTCTACACACAAACACACTTTTTCAAATATTAATGTTATTCATGGTTTTAGACTAGTCAATCACTGAATAATGATTTTTTTTCAATCATTTCAAACGTTTTTTCAATATATATATTTTATATACAATAAAATACAGTATACAACAGTAATTAAATTATTTTTTACATATAAAATCGAATAAAGCCTGTTAAATTCATGTTTGCTTTCATATTTTGACTATTATTCACAGATGGTACCTGAACAGTTCATAGTAACAATTCCCTGCTACTGAACCTTTAGACAGATTTAAAGGGATATTCAGGTTATGTAACATTATTACTCTTTTAATCTATTGACCTGGCTCTTAATCCAAATTGGAGAAAACGAGGGAGGCCATATTTGTTCCATTTACGTGTGTCTCGTCCTGCGCTTCTGTTAATCCTGCTGTTGATGGTGTGATATCTAACATCTGCTCATTTCAGAAATGGATTAGAGGAGCATTTCTTCTTCCATACAGTGCTGTTGCAGTCGTTTAGCTCACTTTCTGGTTTTCTGTTTGGGATTTTTACATAAGCCCAATATGTTCTGAAACAGTATGCATTTGATATCTGAACATAATCGCATTGTGTGAATAGTGTTGAGAGTGTTTAGCGACAGAACTTTAAGAACTTCAGTCATAATCTGTTTTGGTCTTTTGGTTATGGTCTACTGAGTGAACGTTTAAAAGCCACTACTTTCAGTAATGCACAGCATCATTATCCTTCGGCTCCTTTTAGAGCAGAAACCTTCTGGAACCTGATAGTGTGGAAACTTATTAAGAGCAGAACCTTACAGTGCTGAATCAAATGGAGCAGAACCCAGAGCAAAAGCGTGTTCACCCAAAAATGAAAGTTTGCTGACCCTCTGGCCATCCAAGATGAGTTTGTTTCTTCAATAGAACAGTAAAGAAGATTCATGTCACTTTGAGAGTCAAATAAAGCATATCAAGGAAAATTAACACCCATCCTGTGCAAGAAACGGAACATTATTACCTGTAAGCCTCAGGCAAACTACTTTAGGAGAGTTTTATATTTCTCATTCGTAGTGCTTCATGGGATTGTAGTTCTTTCCTTCACTAAAGCCATTAAGTACACAGTCTTGTACCTGTATCTTTTTGCCTGATTGAAGTTTGTAATGTTGTGATTCACCTCGTAGCTGGTTCATGGCTTATAGCGCTTTAACAAAGACTTTTTTTTAAATCCCTATGGGAAAAATTAATGGGAAAAAATACTTGTGGAACCAGCACCACTGAAAAGGGGGGAAGAGGCACTGTTACATTCTCTATGCGTCGCTTATAATAAGTGGACATGGCAACACTTGAAGAGCAGTCTTCTAAACATGATCAAAACATGACGCCTCTGTCGACAGTGATTTAGTTCAAATAGCCAATCACAACGAGTTCATGTAATATTACTTTGGTCAAAAAATAGCGGATAACAAACGCACAAGATGCCAGAACGTTGCTATGATTTCCAGTGTGCCAATCATTGCATTCTTGGAAGTGAGTTCTATTTTAGGGGATTCACTCCCATGTTTAAATGCGGTTGTCACACCAGAAACTTCACGTGTTTGTTGCCATAGATTGGAATCTTGTAGAGCAGAACGCTGCAGAGGGAGCCACTAGAATGTTTTCCTCTAGAATCCTATAGAATTATGAAGAACAGCCCTTTCAACCGAACCCAATAGGACAGAGCAAACCTTGGCTCAGTCAGGTGCTGTCAGTATGTGAGGATGTTTGAAACGCTCACATGCAGCACGTTAGACGAGCACCATCAGTCACAACAGACTCGAGCCGCTCCGAACCCTCGAGGGCAGCGTACATCTGGACGTGACGTAACTCCCGAACGCCTTTGCTGCTTCATCTTTTGTAATACACATGAGATCTCTGACTGCTGTGTGAGTCACGTTGTGTGTTTGTCTTTTTGAGTTGTGTGTTTGCAGAAAAAGCGTGTGTGTGCGTGTTTATGCAAGTGTGTGATCTCTCTCGTGGTTAAACTCTCTCCCATCTGTCCTCTGTGTGTGTGTGTGTGGGAATCCTTACGCAAACTATATGCTAGTTTAAGAAACACTGTTCTGTCTAGGGATCTTCTGCAGCAGGGTTTCTGAATGACTAGTTAAAGACGTCCTGTATAATTAGGCTGGCTGTGTTTTGCTGATGTGTTTTTGAACATCTGTCTGTATGTGGCAGTGCATTAAAGGAGATGAATTTAAAACTTTGGCTTAAGGATTTTAAGTACAAAATGGCACATGCACGTACAGGGAACAAAAAAAAAAGATGATAATAGATGGAGTTAAAGACAAGGTGCAAATCGATTGCATTATTTCTATAGCATTTTTCAGGGTCTCTCTTCAACAATATAACATTATTATTTTCTATTTTAAAATAGTTTTATTGTTGTTGTTGTTATTACCTGCATGTTGTCTATACTTATTACCCAGCTAAGATATCTACTATTTATTTATTTATTTATTTCACTGCAAGTATATTTTATTTATATAGAACTTTGCAGAATGGACATTATTCCAAAGCAGCTTTACAGATAAATATTGCAGGATTAATGTCTTAAAGAAAAATAGAAAATTATACCTTAATATATTTGTTTGTGTCCCAGTCTGCATGCTTTGTCTTAAATGCTATACATGATTACTGTTAACGTCTCAATTCATAGTATGCATTTTAGCATGCATTTTTGTGTCAGAGGTGTTTAATGTAATTTTTGTAATACTTTAAATATAATATTTGTTGTGTGTGTTTTAAGTGTGCATCCATGCATGCATTTGTGGCTAATACTACTCACAAGCCCTTGCATTACAGGAGTTTTTGACAGTACTTTTTTTTTTACTTTTCCAGTGGCAAAGAATGCAAGGGAATTTTTGAATTTGTAAACCTAAAAGTTACACTGAATACTGAGCAAGCAATGCATTTATTTAGATACTAATGCAAACAGTATGTGACAAAGTGTTGAGTAATACTGCATTATCAAGGAAATTTGTTGCAATACTGGCATACTGACCCATAAGTAACTAGTTGCATTTGTGAATTGAGATGATTTGTTATCAGAAACCAATTCTATTCAAATTAATTTAAATCTTCATCAGGCTCTATGAAATGACCTTAAGCGATTTTGATGGGAACAGATAATGATGTGGTTGTGAATAATTAGTTGAAATCATTAAATGGAACGAGATACACCTGTGTGTAATGACAGGTCTACCTACTTTATGTCCGCAGGTTCCTCATGGTCCTAGTGTGCCTGATATTCAGCGTCCTGTCCACCATTGAGCAGCATGCAGACTTTGCAACAGGCTGTCTCTTCTGGATGGTAACCGTTTCACAAGATATCAAATTTTTTTATTTTTTTTATTTTTCATTTCATTTCATTTCAGCGCATTTCATTTAATTTAATCTTAGCTCATTTAATTTCACTTTTAATTTCAGCAGAAAATACCAAGTGTTTGTTTATACTTATTACCCAGCTAAGACTTTTATTTTATTTTATTTTATTTTATATTATTTTATTTTATTTTTTTATTATTTTATTTTATTTTATCCAAGTTCCAAGTGCTTGTTGTTTATACTTATTGCCCAGCTAAGACAGATACTTTAATGTTTTTTATTTTTATATTTTATTTTTACCTCAGGAGAAAATACCAAAACACATATTTTATTATTCGGCAGAAAATAAAAAAGTATTGATTTATTTATTTATTTCTATTTAATTGTGCTGCAGGTGACATGTCCAGTAGCCTAATGCAGTAGCGTATTCTCCCACTGGATGGCAGTGTCATATCTCAGTAGAGCTGATGTTGAGTTTATGGACGGGGTTGAAGGCTTGTATTCCCGTGAACACATTAAATGTTACTGATTGAGTCCCAGAGAAACCCAGAGGCTTTGAACAGCGTCCAGACATGCTTCATCAAACCAGCACTGTCAGAATTGAATGCATGCTTAATTGCACAGCCTAGATGACAGATTTTGATGAGAGACACGAGCGAGTGTGTATCTATTTATACTGTGTGTGTGCGATAATACCCAAAGATCTCTTAAAACGGAGAGTTTTAGACAGCAATCAAAAGTCAGAGATCTCAATATAAACATTTCTCATCAAATGGACAAATATAAATCTCTTACTGGAATAAAGCTCTTCTGTAGACTCTTACTGGATGACAGGTATTGACTGATTTGTGTCTGGTTTTATTACTTGGAAAAGATACAATTTTTGTATGTTTTTTTTAAATCCTCTGAACAGTACAACCGATTCAAATCAAAAGAAGCACTTGAAATTCTAGATTTCAAATAAAAAATCCATATAAAAAGATGTTTAGTATAAAGGCAAAGTTGAGCCCTAAATGAGACATTCCCAAACTGGGAAATCCATTATGCCTCCAACTAAGAGTTAATTTAGTTTAATTATTTTATTAATTATTAGTGACTCATTTCCCATCAAGCTGTTCCACATTCTTTTATATAGCGCTATAAGTTGAAATGAATAGGTTAAAATAAATGAGTTTAAGATTTAAAAAAAAATAATTCAGTTAATGTTTATTTTACTTCAAGTTTTTTTTTTTTGTAGTTTACATAACTTTGTTTTTAATTTTTTCATCAATTGATCTTAGCTTCTCCACATTCATAGAGCGATGCAATTTGATATTTTTGTGAATAGGCTTGCATGCAGTTTGTATGTTTCTGCTAGTAGGCTATAGTTATTGTTAGCGCTCTTTTGACTTGTGTAAGCAAACTGCAGTCAGGCCACTCATATCAACCCAGAGACCCCGGAGCCGTTCAGGGTCAAATGATCATGAGGGGAGCTCCAGATCAGTGTGTACTGCTCGTCTCCTCCACATGTGCCGTTGATTCAGACCAAGCCAGATCCTCTGGCATGTTGTTTAGACACACATATGTGCATACAAAGATCCACCTGTTTCTTTCTGCTTTGCAGGAGATCGTGCTGGTGGTGTTTTTCGGGACAGAGTACGTGGTCCGGCTGTGGTCGGCCGGCTGTCGGAGCAAATATGTGGGCCTTAAAGGCCGTCTGCGGTTCATCAGGAAACCCATCTCCATTATAGGTATCTGACATACTGGCATAATGCTTACTGCATACTAACTTAAAATAGTACGTGAAGCAGAATGGTACATGGTTGTCACTTAACCATGCATCATTCAATCGCAGATTAGACTATATCTTTTGTGTTTTTAATCTGATTAACTTCTTCAATTTTGGCAGTCCAATCCAATAATAAATCAAGAAAAAATAATGTGTGGCTTATATTACTTCAGGTTCATTCCTCATACTGGACATTATTTTATTTTATTTTATTTTATTTTATTTTATTTTATTTTTTTTATTTATTTATTTTTATTTAATTTAATTTAATTTTATTTAATTTTATTTAATTTTATTTAATTTTATTTAATTTTATTTAATTTTATTTAATTTTATTTAATTTTATTTAATTTTATTTAATTTTATTTAATTTTATTTAATTTTATTTAATTTTATTTAATTTTATTTAATTTTATTTAATTTTATTTAATTTTATTTAATTTTATTTAATTTTATTTAATTTTATTTAATTTTATTTAATTTTATTTAATTTTATTTAATTTAATTTAATTTTATTTTATTTTATTTTATTTATTTTATTTTATTTTATTTTGGAATGGTTATCTGGTTATTTTGGAAAATTATCTCCAGTGTTGATTAATAGTTTGAATTGGTTTTTATTTTTATATTTTCAGTTTTCATTTTAGGTTTTCTTAAAGTTTTAGTAATTTTGTTGTGTGTTTTTGTCATTTTATTCGTTTCTGTTTTAATATGTCTATATAGTTTTTATTAATTTTTATTTAAGATTTAGTTTGAATTATTTTAGTATATCAAGTTACACTAAATGAAAATGAGAAATGTTTCCATGGCAACTAGCAGAAATAAAATAAATGTAGGATTTAATTTTTTTTTTTTTTGTGTGTGTGTGTGTGTGTGTGTGTGTGTCATTTTAGTCTACATATTTTAATAACCCTGGTTACATCAGCTGTTTTTTTTTGGATTTTGCATCCAAAATGTTTTTCTTTCACCTTAAAGTCATCATTATCACTTCACTGAAATATATATCCATGTAGGCTAATCTCTAAATTAATATGACACATAAACAGCATGCAGATGAACAAAAAATGAAAAAAAAAGAATAAATAAATAAATAGCTTTAGATGGACTTTATATTTATATATTTTAATAGCTAAGGTTACATCAGCTGTTTTTTAAATAGATTTTGCATGCTTACATTTTCTTTCTCCTTAAAGGGATAGTTCACCCAAAAATGAAAATCACCTCATGGTTTACTCACCCTCAAGCCATCCTATCCATTTAATGTCATTATTTTCACTGAAATATTTGTCATAGACTTTAGTAATTCATGTAGCCATTTTGCTCTTTATCTTGACCAAGATTATTTATACTTTCAAAAGCTCAGTGCATGAATGAATTTGGCCTCTTCTTTCGCTCATGACACAGATCTGATAGTGGTCGTCGCCTCTGTCGTGGTTCTGAGCGTCGGGTCCAATGGGCAAGTGTTCGCCACGTCCGCAATCAGGTACAGATATGACTGACAGTAATATCACCATCCATGTGTTTGATCAGTAGAACATCCAACAACGATCATATGTCATTGATGTTTATTGTAGTGCATCGCTCTGTGAACTAAAGATGCTCTGTTTTCATTGACTGTAGAGGGATCCGTTTCCTCCAGATCTTGCGGATGCTGCATGTGGATCGTCAGGGTGGAACGTGGAGGCTTCTGGGATCCGTGGTTTTTATTCATCGGCAGGTGCGCTTGGTTTACGCTGTCAAATTCAGGCCTGGGTTTATTGCCATGACCGCAATACTCACCTTAATACTTTACAGATCAATGAAACCCACTGATTTCATCAAACAGAGCTAATCAGCGCACGTCTGGCGTAACCAACCTCAGATTTTCTCTCCAAATATGACCTCGTGAATACACATTATGATAATCTAAGCTGAGAGCTCCCGTTTCAGTGATCTGGCTTTATGAGTTAAATCCAACCAGTTCACGCACACATTTTCTCAATCACTTCACCGTTGACGCACGTCTTGTGAAAGGGCTGAAGTTCTCAGTGGATCAGGCGTGATTGGGCTGATTCATTCAGAGCCCCGTGTGCCTTCACATGCACTCATGGACTTAGGGAAAGTTTTCCTTATAAGGTGCTTTTATACTCCATGACACTCGCCACGTAAACCGTGTTCATTTCAACCAGTTTAAAAGTCTCATTCATCCTGAGATGATATATTGCACCAAAGATATACAAAGTTTGTCATCAGGTTTTGATTCCTCTGGACTGACTGAAAATAAAATAAATACAATAGACATAAATAGACAATCTTTTGGGGATCCTTGAAATAATCAGGAACTCAGCAGGAAGTCATTTTCCGAGAGATAAAAAAAACAAACATCCTACATGTTGTACTTATCTTAATTAATTCATTCATTTTATTCACTCATGCAGTCATTTTTGCTTTTTTTCATTTATTCATTCTTCACACTTATTGTTTATTTATTTGTAAATTTTTATTCATTTATTTTTAATTTCTATAAATAATTTTTCATTTTTTTGTTATATTAACTCTTTCCCCGCCAGCATTTTCGAAAAAAGTTGCCAGCCACCGCCAGCGATTTTGATGATTTTCACTAAACTTTGATGGCCTCCAGTATATTTTGCTGTATGAATATTTGAATATGCAACGCACCAAAATAAAGATCAGAGCCTCTACTTTTAAACAGTTTTTTTTCTAGCTTAAAGCATTCTTTTTTTATCAACACTTGAATATAGGTAGGTTTCATAAAAAATGCATAATTTTGAGCAAAAAGGTGAGAAAATCACATTTTTATCAAAAACTACATCTGGATAATATTCAGTACGATTATCAAAGCATAAATCCAGTAAACTGCTTCCATCAACACCTCCAAAGCTTGCACAGACATCACTTCCCGGATCAACATTTTACTCCGTAACATTATGCAGTTTTCATTTAGATGCTGCCATTGCTGATGATCGCATTATTTTTCATATGCATCTGTTTACATAATACATCGCTCGTTTCTCCGTTCTGTTCACGTGTGTTTTTGTTCGTAAAATCTCGTCTTTGGCGGGGAAGCGTTTTCTTGTAAAAGACGAGATAACTCGTCAATGGCGGGGAAAGAGTTAATTTAGAGATTACAGTGGTATATTTGTAGCTTATAAAAAACATTTTTACTTTAAACTTTAAAGGAGATTTTCTCAATATTTAGATTTTTTTTTTGCATCCTCAGATTCCAGATTTTCAAATAGTTGCATCTCGGCCAAATATTGTCCCATCCTAACAAACCATACATCAGTGGAAAGCTTATTTATTTCGAAAAATTGACCCTTATGACTGGTTTTGTGGTCCAGGGTCACATTTGTCACACCACAGCACTATTTAAGTAAATTAGCAATAGCAAAAGGTAAATGGTGACCAGATCTTAGGACATTGCTAAAATGTTCACCTAATGCCAAACACACACCTTATTAATTTACGTTTATATACATTCTAACCTAAAATCTTGGAAATAGGTTAATCTATGTTATTTGCCTATTTTCCCCCGATTCAGGAGCTGATCACCACGCTGTACATTGGGTTCCTGGGTCTGATCTTCTCGTCGTATTTTGTGTATCTGGCGGAGAAGGACGCAGTAGACGAGGAGGGGAAGACAGATTTTTCTAGCTATGCTGATGCTCTGTGGTGGGGTGTGGTGAGTTTATTCTTCTTCGTTGGAAATCGGAGTTATTGGAGTTGACAAGCAGTGAACACATTGCTGACAAGACCAGCTTAGACTAGTTTCCATTTGATGACTGACTGAGGAAGTCTTGCTGGTTAATCTAGTTGGTCTGTTTGAAGACCTTACAGTACTGCTTTTTACATCAATCATGGTCTACCATAAATCATTTGAGTAGTTCACCGTTAGGTGTGTTTGTGGTTTTTATATAATTAAAATCTACTATATTGCCCTCTGGAGATCTGGCATTGCCTCATACACCGCTAATCATGAAGTTTCTCGTCTGTTTGAATGTATATCAAGTAAGTTTTTAACATATGCCCATGTTCTCCACCACATATGTGACCCTGCAGCACAAAAGCAGTCTTAAGTCGCTGTGGTATATTTGTAGCAATAGCCAACAATACATTGTATGGGTCAAAATTATTGATTTTTCTTTTATGCCAAAAATCATTAGGACATTAAGTAAAGATCATGTTCCATGAAGATATTTAGTAAATTTCCTACTGTAAATATATCAAAACCTAATTTTTGATTAGTAATATGCATTGCTAAGAACTTCATTTGGACAACTTTAAAGATGATTTTCTCAATATTTTGATTTTTTGCACCCTCAGATTCCAGATTTTCAAATAGTTGCATCTCGGCCAAATATTGTCCTATCCTAACAAACCATACATCAATGGAAAGCTTATTTATTCAGCTTTCAGGTGATGTATAAATCTCAGTTTCGAAAAATTGAGCCTAATGACTGGTTTTGTGGTCCAGGGTCACATTTCATGATGCTTGGGGAGATTGCATTCTCAATGAAGGATATACTAGCTTATATGATAATTCTTATGCTGCTATTATGTCAAGCATGTACCTTAAAAACTGCCTACTTAGGGAGCACACTAGGTTTTGGAACAGGGCCTCAGCGTGGATTGTTCATGGGTGTTATATGTCAGTGCTAGTTGAACAGTAATGCACTGTGTCTCAAATAGTGTATATTTTATATCAGGTCTGGTGATTTTCGGGTCTTGCTTTGGCATGGTGAACTGAAACTTTAATTGAGGCTCTAAAATGCATTTAAATGTCCAGTTATTTTCTTTCTGTCGTTTTGCAAACCACACGAGAAAAGAGGGTCATAAAGCATCCAGCTACCCACTCGAAAGTCTGTAGGAATCGGTCCTGGATGAAGTTTAGAGTGCAGTTAATTAAAAAGCTGAATTCAGTGTGAACCGTAATGAGAAACCAATCATACAGCTGTACGGGGAATCTGAGAGCCACAAAAGCTCGGCCAATGTCCCTTTCACCTCTGGCTCAAAGAGCTTTCTACTCTGTGCCGTAAAGTGTCGGATCCGTTAATTAAACCTTTAATTGCAGAGGCTCTACCTTTCTGTGAAGAGGGTCAGAAAGCGTATGGCCACCCGTCGGCCCTCGAATCTCAGACAAAAGCAGTTGTTTGTATGGAGGAGGTGGCATTGAGAAACCCTCGACGGGGGTCGCTCGCTTTTGTCACTGTGAAGTCTATAAAACGTAAGATTGAAGAGAGGAATTACAAATGGAATCGACTTGAACTTGCAAATGAAAAACTGAGCAGTGGATTGAAGAAAATAGCCCAAAGCAGAGCTTTATTGCTCAGAGTTTGTTCTTTCATTGCTCAGGAGATTTAATGGTGTCCCCGACGTGCTTTATTTACATATTCACTTTTGTCTCCGATGTATCGACATGACGAGTTGATAACTGTTATACAGTGAGAGTACAGCGGTGTAAAATTAGCATGTTGAGATCATACTGAGATCATATTGAGCACTGTTTGAGACATTGAGATCTCTTCTGAAACTCTTACTTTGTTTGGTCTTCCAAAAGAGGACACGACTAGAAATCAGTAGAAATCAGAAATCTGGAATATTTACAACACTGTTCCAGAACGCTTCAACCCAAATATTCAGACGTAGAACACATTTTATGGAGGACCGTTTCCTGATGCTGGGAGAGTAGACTACAATGCCGGCTGTTCTGACTCACAGACTGTAAATATGTTTTTATATTTAATGAATTTGCCACTGACGATTCAAACGCGAGTTTTGAGCAGTGTAGAGTAGTGCTTGTTGTTTGT